TAAGTTATGATCGGATCAATCCAACTTGGCTCATATGGAATAACATTCACTTACCAAGAAAATAGATGGCTGGTTCAGTATACCTACTGGAATCACCCTTGCCAATGTCTCGCCAGAACCCGAGGCGCTACATGCTAACCGATCGGCATCTTCATTATGCTCCCTCGGTATTTGGATGAATTCAATTTTTTTAAAGTTTTTGACTTCTCGCATAACAGCAGAATGATATGCTTCCATCATTTCATCTTTGGTTTCATATTCATCATTCACCTACTGAACAATTAACTGCGAGTCACTAAAGACGATCAAATTCCTGACCTTCAGCTCTTTGGCGAGCTTAAGTCCAGCCAGTAGTGCCTCGTATTCTGCTTCATTATTAGTGGCTCTGAATTCAAGCCGGAGCACTTGACTTAGGGACGTGCCTTCTGGTGTCTGCAGTTTAACCCCAATGCCTGCCCCCATCTGATTTGAGGATCCATCGACGAAGAGTTTCCACAAGCAACCTCGAAGGTCTTCCTCCATGTCTTCTGAATCATATTCCAGTAGAAAATCTGCCACTGCTTGCCCTTTGATTGCCGTTCTGGGTTTATATGTTATGTCAAATGAGCTTAACTCTATGGCCCACTTCGTCATCCTCCCTGAGAGGTCTGGCTTGTGTAGGATTATTCTGATAGGGAAAGTGGTTTGAACGATGATAGGATGGGATTCGAAATAATGCCTGAGCTTTCTTTTTGCATATACTAGTGAGAGTATCACCCACTCGGCCTTTGAATATCATCGTTCGGCCTCAGTCATCGTTTTGCTAACATAAAACACTGGATATTGCTTTCCCTCTTTACAACGGATCAGAACGCCACTTGTTGCGATGCTGGATATCCCGAGGTATAAAAATAGTTTTTCTCCTAGTTCAGGAGCTGACAGGACCGGAAGGTTCTACATATATTCTTTCAGACCAGTTAATGTTTGGCGCTGTTCATCCCCCCAAACTTGTCTCCCATGGCTTCGTATTGTGTCAAAAAATGGTTTGCAGTGATCTGACAATTTGGAAATGAACCGGCTCAATGCAGCTATCCGACCTGTAAGTGCTTGCACTTCTTTGACTGTCTTTGGCTCGGCATTCTTAGTCAGAGCTTCTGCTTGGATAGGGCTAGCTTCTATGCCTCTCTGATTAACCACGTGTCCCAAGAACTGACCAGAACTCACGCCGAATGAGCACTTGGTTGGATTGAGCTTCATTCCATATTGTCTCAAGACATCAAATACGTCTTGTAGATGTTTCAGATAGTCATCTTTCTTTTTTCTTTTTACTACCATGTCATCAATGTAGGCTTCCACGGTCTTTCCAATTTGATCCTTGAAAATTTTGCTAATAAGCCTTTGATAAGTCACTCCGGCATTCTTCAGTCCGAACGGCATAACTCTGTAGCAATTGGTCCCTCGATCAGTAACGAAAAAAGTTTTCTTTTCATCAGCTGGGTCCATGGGGATTTGGTTATAACCTGAATAAGCATCTAAGAAGGTTAAACGCTCATATCCAGTAGTAGCATCCATTATTTGATCAATCTTAGGCAGCGGAAAGCTATCCTTCGGACAGGCTTTGTTCAGATTGGTGAAGTCAATGCACACTCGCCATTTCCCATTCTTCTTCTGTACAACAACAATGTTTGATAACCAGTCGGGATAGTACACTTCTCTTATGAATCCCGCATCAAGCAGCCTATCAACCTCCTCGGCTATGATCTGGTTATGTTCTGGAGCAAACCTTCGCTGCTTCTGCTTTATAGGTCTTGCATTGGGATTGACGTTCAGGGAGTGACAGGATACAAAAGGGCTAATTCCAGGCATGTCTAAGTGATTCTATGCAAATACATCGGCGTTGTGAGACAAGAAATCAATTAACTCCTGTTTTTCCCTCTCGGTGAGTCTGACTCCCACTCGAGTTGTTCACTCTGGCCTAGATTGATCGATTTGTACATCAACAAGGGGCTCTTCAGTCAAGTCCACTGGCTCCTCCTCCCTATTTTGCTTGGGTGAAGGTTTCTGTAATTGCTATCTCGGGCTCGCCGACCGGACAGGTGTTTTTCCTTTCCTTGCGGATTTCAGTGTCACTGAATAACATTCTTTAGTTGCAACTTGGTCCCCATAAATGTCAATCACCTTGGTGCCGTCTGGGCCAGGCATCTCATTACTTGGTGCAGCGTGGAAGGAACACCTTGAACTCTGTGGATCCACCCTCTGCCTATCAGAAGGTTGTAAAAGGGATGGATCTCGACAACCACAAAGCTCTCCATCAGAACCCTCTCTGCGGCATACACTACTACTTCCACCATATCGATGGGTTCCACTCGTTTTCCATCAAACCCTAGCAAAGGATTCCCAGTGGGCTTGAGCCAGTCTGGCTTGATCTCGAGCCGATCAAATGTGTCCCTTGGCATGACGTTCGCACTACTTCCAGGATCAATCAGAACTCTGCGTACCAAATATTCGGCCACTGTCAAACTAATGACTAACGGATCTTCATAAGGAATCTGAACGCGTAACAGGTCGGTTCTGTCAAACTTGATTTACGTTGATGCGTTCTGCTGATATAGAGTGTTTACATTACCTATTCTCCTCTTCATCTGTGCCAGGCGGAGGCGCGTTCTAAGCAGTTCTTCTGACTCTCCAGCCAGTTCGGGCCGACCATGAATCGCATTGATTATGCGAACTGGCTGCGAGCTTTGGGAGCTCGGCTTCTGATTCATTTTTACTTGCTCCATTGGTCGGCTCTGTTCCATTGCCGTGCCTTGGATATATCTTGCGAACTCCCCTCTGGCTATCAGCATCTCTACCTGCCTCTTTAAGTTCCTGCATTCATTAGTCTGATGGCTAAAGTCAGAATGGAAAACATAATGCTTAGACTGGCCCTTTTGATCGAGGGGCTGTCTGATAGGTAAAGGAGGTCGGAACTTATCTTTATTTTCTTGGTACAGCCTTGCCAGTGTGACTTTTAACGGAGTAACCAGCTCTTCCTCTCTGGGCCTCTTTTCAGCTTTCCAAGAGGTCTAACGCTGTGGCTGAGCCTGCTTTTGCCTAATTTTTGCTTTGGTTTTCTCTTCTGTTGTTATTACGGATGTCTTCCGAGCGTTAGCTGCTTCTTCTTATTCTAAGCGTATAAAACCATCAGCTCTTTCATTGAGTTCATCCATGGTCTTCGGCGTATTCACTACCAACCTTGTGTAGAATGGAGTACCACGAATCATGTACAATTTAAATGCTTGAACCGCTGTAGAAGGATGACATTCAATCACCATGCTCTTAGTAAGGTTAAACCTGGTAAGAAAAGCTTGAAGACGCTTGTCCTCATGCTGTTTCATTGTGAACAGGCTCAAAACATCCTTTGCCGGGCGTTTATTCCCATAATATTGGCTTATGAACCGATCGCATAAGTTTCGGAAACTATCCACTGAGCCCCTCAGCAGGTTCTTGAACTAATTGAGTGCTGGTCCAGCTAGGCTTGTAGGAAAGCACTTGCACATTAAGGAGTCATTCTCAGTGTTAAGGGCCATTTTCAACTGATCAATCGGATCAGTCGTTCCGTCAAACAGAATGAAAATGGGCATGGAGAATTTCCTCGGACTCGGAGCATTCAAAATTTCATCGATAAATGGCGAGTCAACCGTCCGAGCCGCTGAGCGGAGGGCCTCATTCTCCCTCTGGAACCCTGCGGTAGCTCTCTGATCCATAGATCTCCTTTCTGAGCTTCAATAATCGAATGTAGCCATGGAAGGCCGATAGGACAAATCGAGTGATCTTTCCTCCACAAACTCCTTATGCCAAGGTGGTATAGCTTTATGGCGGTCAAACTCCACTGCCTCTTTTCGGTTGAACCCTTCTTGATATGGATCGAAAGTCATAGCTTCGTTGCGCCTGATCTGTTCACGCCGTGGATCTAGGTGAATTGATCCTTCACGGTCATCAACACGACGAGCAATTGGCGGCAAATCATTTGCCCTGATCGCCTCGCGGTGAAGATCCATCGGACTGTGTTCTTCCCGTTCACCGCGGGGTGCAACACCAGGTTGTACTATTTCTTCGCCTGCTGTAAGTGGTTGCAATATCGCCGGAGCTTCTTGACGCTGCATTCCAGCTTTTAGCTCTGCATTCTCTCTCCTTAGAGCTTCGATCGTATTCATCAACTCATCAAGTTTCATTTGCTGGACATTCTCCACCGGATTGGAGTTCTCACCTCCAATCATCATTCCGGAACGAAGCAAAGGCATGAATCACAAATTCTAGATCAGATCTAAAATTCGCTACTGCGAATCTCGTCAGATCTGGACTCAAATTCAATGAATTGTATTCTCAGCTCGTTGGATCTGAGTTTCCCTAGCTTTGAACTTGTCAAATCTGGCTCCGATCGAACAAATCACAGCTGCGTAAATTTGACGCCAACACCTCAAAATCAACAAGATTCAAAAATTTCTTCAGAACAAAACGCAATATCTCAGATCTGGATTCAACTTCCAAAAATCAAGCTTCGTCTTCACGAATTAGTCTGAGTCAACATGATGTCGATCAAACATGAATCAACCTCCAACGGTTCCCACAGATTGCGCCAATTGTAAATGTAAGAAAATTTCTCTCTCCATTTTGACAGAATTTCAGTACATTTCCCAATAATCCTCCCATTTTTACTCTTTTCACAGCCTATTTATAGGCAATTACAAGTGTTGCTGGACTATCAGCTTTGGGCCCTCTTTCCCGCGGGGTTGGCCTTCTTCCATGGATTCTCCGAGCTCGGCCCATCCTGTGGTGCTCTTATTTGGGCTGAACTCAAATGTTTGACCCGATGCCACATCCGCGGATTGTACCCGGCCCATATTACTTCTAGTATCCTCAGAACTCATTCTATTCTCTTTCATTCAATTGAACAAAAATTATAAAGGACTTAATCTCTTGTCTAAGAATGTCTTGTCCATCACTTATCTTTTTTATTCAAATTTTTTCTTTCCTACTAAATGAAGCAAAATAGCAAAATAGTTGCTTCTTATGTTGGGAAAGACATTGGGTGAGTCGTGCACTGTATGTTATTGTGCGTCCGTCCAATAAAAACCCGCCATGCATTCATTGTGCAATAAAATAGGCCCCCTCATCTAGAAAAAAATAAATAAATAAAAATTGCTTCATGATTGGTTAGATTTTCATTCTTATACCCACTCCTTGTGTCACATAGATGGAGAGCTAGAGTGACTACACATAAAATTTGGTCAAAAAAGCAGCTCCTCTAGAACATTTGTGCACTTGTACATAATTGTACGTGAAAATTGTTTTTTTTTTTTTTTTTTTTTTTTTTTTTTTTTTTTTTTTTTTAAACCATTGTATGATATTATTGTCGAAAGCTTGCTGCAGAATCATAGGCCGAACTAATAGTTTTTGTACCCGTGGATTGAGTTTTCGAAAATAAATCTCTCTTCGTACCATAAATGCACATTTTTTTCTACCTTTCAAAACAAGTCTTTGAGTTTCCCCAGATTTACCATCAATGCCATCAAACACACAAATGAATTCAACCAAAATTAATGCCTTATTATTATTATTATTATTATTATTATTATTATATATGTTTATGAACTTGATTAAATGATTTAATTACTCTCAAATTTATAAAATATAACAGGGTTAAGTGCAAAAAAACTTCTTGATATATAGACTTTGTGCAGAACAAGTCCCTACTTTTTAAAAAAGTGTATGCAAGTTCACAAAATTTAAAAAATGTGCATAACCGGTCCCTCTGACAATTTTTTACAAAAAAGTAAAACTTAAAATCCCATTTTACCCTTTTGTTTCCCATTTTACCCCTCACAATTTGTGCAGAAAAGACCCTCAGCCACACGTGCATAAAAGGCCCCCAGCACCTCATACCAATTTGTCTCTCTCTCTGTACATGATCACTGCTCTCTCTCCCTCTCTCTCTCTCCATGCATGTCTCTGGTTCAATTCTTATTTTCAACCCTCTGGTGATCAAACAGACAAGTTTCAATTGAAGGAGGAGATGGCAAGGTTCATGAGTTTGGAGTCATGTTCTTCGAAACCAGTGCAAAGGCAGGATTCAATACCAAGGTGGACACCTCAAGTCCTCTGTACTTCTTTTTTCTCATTACCTACCAGTAGTAATTACTAATTCCTTTCGTAGGCTGTTTCCTAGATATGTAGTTAATAAGTTTGTAATGATGATCTTATATGACTCAGATAATGATCTCCTATTCTGATGCAAAATGCTTACTCTCTGCTAATCGAAAATTGCAGCTTCTGTTCCGGAAGATTGCTGCTGCCTTGCCGGGAATGGAAACCCTTTCCTCCACGAAACAGGAAGACATGGTTGATGTGAATTTGAAACCTGCTATCCATACATCCCAAACAGAGCAGCAGGGAGGAGGTTGCGCATGCTAGAGAATGTATTTTAGGAGGAAGAAAAAGATAGGAAAGCATTTGAATCGCAGGACACCAAATGAAAATCCTGCAAACGTGATGTTGCAATTCTTTAAGTCCAGTGTGAGATAAGATCGCGGCAGTTTTGATGCTTTTTCTTTAGTGTACCAACGCGCTATTCAAGTCACCAGAGAGGAGAAAGCAGCAATGTTCTGCTTTAAGATACTGAGATTGGTAGCTCATAGAAGTGTTATTGTTGTTACTATTACTATTTTTTTTTAAAAAAAATTTGGTTTTCTCAGTTTATAATTTTCTTTTTTTCGGTGATTACTTTTATTTTCTTGATGTGTTCTTTTTTATATGTTTGTATTTGATTTCTAAACTCTATTCAGGAAGTTATTTGCAATAGAAGACGACACCTACTTAATGTAGGAACAGAGATGATTTATAGCCCGCGCGAGTTTGTTACCCGTTGTCAGTTAAATTCAATTCGTATATGAGCTATTTTAATTTCATTAGAGCCAACAACGAGTTTCAAATTGGATTGATGAGTTTTAGGTTTGCATCAGATTCAGGACATTAATTTTACTAGTTTGATGAGTTTTAGGTTTGCATCAGATTCAGAACCTTACACACACAGACAACTCTATCTCATGTTTTGTGCCATAAATGAATTGGCACCAATGATTGCAGCTCAAGCCAATACATTCTATTCTGTATTGTGATTATTATTATTATTATTATTCTGTATTGTGATTATTATTATTTATATAGTTGGGGCATTGTTTGGTTTTAGATTTAATTATATTCAGGTTTAGGTTATCCCAATTTTATACAATTTGAGATTTATATTATTCTTCTGCCAAACAAACCCCATTTTATACAAATTTGGACAAAAGGGTCATTTTACATGGCCGGTATTATAATCATTAATTTATTCAGCTGAAGTGAGGGTACTATCGTTATTTTACACTACCAGGGACCCAATTGCACCAAATTGATAGTATAAGGGAGTTTTTTACCACGACTGATATGCACTATATCGATAATAGAGGGGTTTTTTTTGCACTTAACCCAATATAATAATAAATTTTTAAAAAAATAAAAAATTATTAATATAATCTCTCACTTAAAATATAAATTGCATCAAGGTATATCATTTGATATTGGTAGATCTCATTAGCTAATTCAATAGTAGTCTGTATTCTTTATTTTTAATTTATTATATAACGACCATTTTTTTAGAAATTTATCATAATAATTTTAAAGTACTTAAGTTTTTAAAAAATTAAAAATTTATATCAAAGGTGTGGAGTTTGAAAGCTATTATGAGAGATAATAATTTCATCCCTTTCTTTTATTTTTTTGCTTTAAAAACCTAACTTTATAATAATTGTTATCTCATTTATAAGGTACTACTTAAATTATCACTTGTATCAAGACATTTCATCTGATTTTGAAAAAAAAAAAAAAAAAATTCATTTTCTGTTAGAAACTTAGAATATAATCATTATAATTTTTTAAAAAGTTATTTTTATTTACTTAACTTCTGTGGAATTTAAATTCAATTAGTAACAAGTTGATTTGCAAGCTTAATAAAAATCAACTCTGACTACAACAAAAGATGGCATTAATTGTAAATTTGAGAAATTTAAAGGTTTTTTCTTTGTCTAGGAAAAAGATGTCAGTTATGGAAAGTTTGGAAAGATTTCTTTGTGAATAGCCATTTCACCGTGTAAGATGATAGATCAGTGGTTCGGCTCGCAATTCGGAAAATTGCCTTCTGCAAGAGTATCACTGCTCTAAAAATATATTTTCATCAGCACTAAGAAATATATTTGAATTATAAGTAAACTTATTTATTTTATATTAAGCAAAATAATTAAAATACAAAATTTATAATATATTTTTATTTTCAACCAATTATGACTTGAGAAATCTGTATATTGATTCGAGATTCTTAAAGAGATATTTATTAATTTTTTGTGCATGAAATGATTACTTTAAATAACTATAAAATATTATTATAATTAATGATATTTTATAGTTATATTCATAATACTATTACAATTAGATTGTCCTTTATTTAAAAAATTAATAATAAATAGATAAATAGGTAATTTGTGTTAGAGTTTCTATAAAACTCTATAAATATATTTTTGTCTAATGTGATAGAGTTTTACTGAAAAAAATATATAATTTGTGTTAGAGTTTTATAAAAATTATTTTATTTTCTTTAAATATATCCTTGTCTAATTAGATTTTTTTTATTAAAAAATTATAATTAAAGGTAATTTGCGGCAGAATTTTAGAAAATTTATTTTATTTTATATATCAGTTAATAATTTTTTTATATTAAAAATTATTCTCTAATTAGATTTTCTTTTCTTTTAACTCAAAATAATAAATAGACAAATAGATAATTTGTGTTAGAGTTTTATAGAAACTCTTTAAATATATACTTGTCTAATGTGATAGAGTTTTATTGAAAAAAAAATAAGTAGTTTGTGGTAAAGTTTTAAATAAATTATTTTATTCTTTTTAAATATATCCTTGTCTAATTAAATTTCCTTTTATTAAAAAACTCATAATAAAAGATAATTTACGGCAGAGTTTTAGAGAAATTATTTTATTTTCGATATCAATTAATAAATATTTTTTATATTAATAGTTTCTTGTTTAATTAGATTTTCTTTCATAATAATTATATAATGTGACAGAGTTTTATAGAAAATAAACCGCTAATTTATGGTTGATTTTATAGAAAGTATTATTATTTTTTTAAATATACTGATTTTTAATTATATTTTCTTTAATTAAAAAATTAATAATAAATAGATAAATAGGTAATATGTGCTAGAGTAAATCTTTTAAAAACTTTTTTTATATCAATTAATATTTTTTTTCATATTAATAATTCTTGTCTAATTAGATTACCTTTTATTAAAAAAAAACTCAAAATAAAAGATAAGTTGTGGTAGCTTTATAGAAAAATTATTTTATTTTTTATATTAATTAATAAATATTTTTTATATTAATAATTCTTGTCTAATTAGATTTTTTTTATTATTAAAAACTCATAATAAATAAATAAATAGGTAATTTGTGCGAAAGTTTTATATAGAAACTATTTTAAAAACTCTTCTTAAATTAATTAATTAATATTTTTTTATATTAATAATTCGTATATAATTTGTTTTTCATTTATTAAAAAACGCATAATAAATAGATAAATATGCAAATTGTGTTAGAGTTTTATAGAAACTCTTTTAAAACCTCTTTTTTATATCAATTAATAAATATTTTTTCTATTAATAATACTCATATAAATTGATTTCCTTTTATTAAAACAAAATCGTAATAAATAGATAAATAGGTAATTTGTGATAGAGCTTTATAGAAACTCTTTAAATATATCTTTGTCTAATGTAATATAGTTTTATTGGAAAAAAATATGTAATTTGTGGTAGAATTTTATAGAATTATTTTATTTTCTTTAAATATATCCTTATTTAATTAGATTTATTTTTATTAAAAAATTATAATAAAAGGTAATTTGGGGTTGAATTTTAGAAAAATTATATTAGTTTATATATCAATTAACAATTTTTTTTTTATATTAAAAATTCTTGTCTAATTAGATTTTCTTTTATTTTAACTCAAAATAATAAATAGATAAATTTGTAATTTGTGTTAGAGTTTTAAAGAAACTCTTTAAATATATCATTTTCTAATGTGATAGAATTTTATTGAAAATAAAATGGGTAATTGGGGTAGAGTTTTAAAAAAATTATTTTATTTTCTTTAAATATATCCTTGTGTAATTAAATTTCTTTTTATTGAAAAACTCATAATAAAAGATAATTTGTCGCATAGTTTTAGAGAAATTATTTTATTTTTTATATCAATTAATAAATATTTTTTATATTAATAATTTCTTGTCTAATTCGATTTTCTTTTATTAAAAAATTGATAATAAATGAATAAATAGGTAATTTGTGTTAGAGTTTTATAGAAACCATTTTAAATATATCATTGTCTAATGTGTTTTATTGAAAATAAAATAGGGAAATTATTTTATTTTCTTTAAATTTATCCTTATCTAATTAGCTTTCCTTTTATTAAAAAAATTCACAATAAAAGGTAATTTGTGATAGAGTTTTAAAGAAATTATTTTATTTTATTTATTTAATTTTAATTGATAATTAATTTGTGTCAAAGTTCACATATTTGAAATTGATTTATCAATAGCACTCGTAATATATTAATGTTGATGCACTACAATATTACTTAAAAACACAAAACGTGTGATGTAATGTCTAGTCCACTGCTCAACCTTATCACGAGGTTGTAAAAAAAAAAAAAAAAAGTATGAGAATAATACGTGGTGAATTAATTATTTATGCACCAATTGATTTATTTCAATATTTTATGCACCAATTAATTTATTAAATATTTTATTATGCATTAACACTTTTTTTTTTTACAAAGCAAGTAATAATTAATTTATTAATTTATAAAAATTGAGTTTATTAATTTATAAAAATTGAGTATAATATTTATTCTTTGCATATGAAGCAAATAATAATTAATTTATTAATTTATAACAATTGAGTACAATAGTCTGATTCTTTGTTGGTTGGATCTATGTGCTGACGAATCTTGATCTCGAATGACATAATTAAAAATGTGCTTGTTCTTTATTGAAGTTGAATTTGAGGAAGAACAGTACGATTTTAGATGTGTTTCTTGTTTTTTGTCTGCAAAGAATTTTTGAAATTATGAGTCTGTAAATTTCTGCACCTTTGAATTTGTAGAATTTTCAATTTCTGTACCCTTCCTCCTTCGTCGATGCCTTTATTTATAGGCTGATGACATGCGTCTTCTCTTAATAAGGGCATAATCATAATTGGGCAAGATGAATGTCATCATCTTTTATAATAATAGTATAGATATAGATATAGATATAGATATATTTTAGGGAATTTATAATTTGAATTTATATAAACTCTTTTAATAAT